TGTTGCATCAGGGTACTATTTACTACAACATGGTTGGCATCCCCAGCTGGCAGTGCCCACCTTGGTGCCCTTGAGAGGTGAGTGGAAAAGAGCAGAAATGAGACTGGCAGAGACCAGGGGATGGAGCTGCGTTGTGGGAGAGGGAGGTGCTGAAGGAGACATCAGGAGCATGTGGTTGACCTGTCTGGGGAGTCTCTCCTGCTGCCCCCAGGCCTTCAGCCAGCCTGGTGCTGGGAGACCCTGGATGGGCTGCTAGGCTGGAGCTGTGACAGAAGTGGCAGGTGACAGGCCAGCGATGTGCCCAGCACAGTCATGGTGGAGGGAGGCAACTCCAGGTATGATGGGAACTGGGCCTGGCAAAAGTGGTGGGTAGACAGTATGGGGCATCCCAGGGTGATGTGTGACCACCAAGGAGATCTGTGTGGCCAACTGGATGAATATGGGACTGTTCCACGTGGTCACAGACATGGACACAGACATGTGCACACACACCCTCCCTTACAGCATAAAGAGAAGCGAGGGGCTCAGAACCCCGAGTGCATACAGAGCCATGGGCCCTGTCCTGCTGAGGACCTGGAGACAGACAGGCACCCAGATGAGCCCGTGGGCCCCACGTGAGGTTGGAGATGGGAGAGCCCGGCTCTGGCCCACACTCACTGGGCCAGTCCATCTCAGCCCAGAGGGACTGATGCCTTTAAAGAAGGGCCTCTTCTCTCTCCTTCCCTTGCTGGCCCATTCACATTCCTGTTCTCCTCAAACTTCCTGGGTCACTGCCCATTCTCCTCATCTTGCTCCTTGCTCACTGAGAAACTGGGCCCCTCCCCACAGCTCACTGCTGTTGCTACTTTGTGGGAGCAACCTGCTCCTCGCCATTCCCAGGGCAGTGCTGCTGGCAGTGGCAGGCTTCACCCTCGCTCTGCAAACCAAGCACACTCAGCGAATGCCCTTCTCCAAACAACCCCTCTCTGCCCACTGCCCTGTTCCCTGTTCTCAGTTCCTTTGGCAGTGACATCCTTGGGAAGGAGGCCCATGCTCCAAACCGTCTCCTCCTTTTTCTCTCTGGAACCCACTTCAGCCTGGCTTTACCCCTCTATCCTGTCCAAACAGCTTGCCTTAGTCAGCTCAGGCTGCCACAAAAAAAAAAAAAAAAAAAAAAAAAAAAAAAAAAAAAGCCACAGACGGGTGCTTCAACAACAGAAATCCTTGCAGTTTTGGAGACTGAGGTCCAACATCAAGGTTCTGCCGATTTGGATTGTGGTGAGGGCTCCTGTTCCAGCTTGCAGATGGCTGCCTCCTTTCTGTGTGTCCCCACATGTCCTCATCTCCTAAGGACACTAACTGCGTTGGATAAGGGCCCCACCCTCACAACCTCCTTTAGCTTCATTATTTCTTCAATGGTCCTATATCCAAATATAGTCACACTGGGGGTCAGGGACTCACCATACAAGTGTTCTGGGAGGGTGAGCACAACTCAGTACAGCTCTTGTCAGGATCTCTGTTGACCTCCACATCACCAAACCCAGGGTCAGTCCTTATGCCTGACCCCTGGAACCTTGATGCTGGACACATTTGCTGCCTTCTCCTCCTTGAAGTTTAGCCTTTTCTTGGCTTCTGAGACTCCAAGTTCTTTCTTACCCTGCTTTTTGCTGGCCCCTCCATCGTCCCAGCCTGTAAATCTCACCAAGCCTGGTGCTCAGCCCTGACTGCTTCCTGTGTCTCTACTTGTCCCAGGGAGGTCGGGGCAGGCCACAGCTTCCCTCATGTTCACACCTCACAGTGGACTTTTCCTGTGTCCAGCAGCCTGGCCTGCTGTCTCCTCCCTCAGAGGCTTCTGGGCACCTACCGCTCAGCCTGCCTGCAGACAAGCTCCTGTCATCCTCACCTCCCCACCACGTCTTCCGTGCCAATGGGTGACAGCGCCATCCTTCCCGAAGCTCAACACTGGCCACCATCCCTGACTTGCCTCTTTCTGGGTGCCTCAGCATCCTTTTGTCCTCAGAACATCTACAATCCAACCGGCCTGTGCCACTTGGGCGGTCCAACATGTAGGACCTGCCGTAGCCACTGTAGGAGCTGCTGATGGTCCCGCTTCACTGTGTGTTGGCAGAATAATGTGCTTCCTCTAGCTCCCCCAAGATGTTCTCACCCTAATCCCTGCAGCCTCAGAGTAAGTCCCCTCATGCGGCAGCAGAGGCCACACTGGTTAAAGGAAGGAATGTGAGATGGGAAGGTGATCTGGGATCAGCCCAAAGTAATCACTCAGGTCCTCCCAGGAGGGAGCCAAGCAGGTCACGGGCAGAAGGAGTTTTGAGTGGCCATGAGTCAAAGGAGGTCAAGCTTCCAGAAATTGGAAAAAGCGAGGTCATAGATCCTCCCAACCTGGATTTAGACTTCTGAATTTGTGTTGTTTTAAGTCACAGTCTGTGGAAATTTCTTACTGTAGACATAAGAAACGCACCCCTTTCCCACGGCTCCCGAGGGCCTCCGTGTCTGGCCCCTTAGGTCTCTGGCCTCCTCTGCTCACCGTGGCTTCCTTTATCACCCTGGCTGCCCCTCCTTCCTCTGAGCCTTTGCTCCTGCTGTTCCTCCTTCACCCAGATCTGCCTGGCTCACTCTGCCCAAATGCCATGCCATTGGAGAGACTTCCTAGCCACCTGCACCCAGGCCTCTGGTCTAGCAGCCTGGTCATTCCCTCTACCACAGACCTGCTTTACGCTCTTCTTGTGTGAAACCACCCACTGTGCTCTGTGCATGGGTGCTCCTCAGGATGGTGTACCTGCAGTGGGAGGGGCCTGCTTCACACACTGCTGTCGAACGGTGTCTAGTAAGTTTCTGGCATATTGTGAGCACTCAAAGGATACCTCTTAGATAAGTGAATGAATATGAGAAGGAATGAATCGATTTTACAGATGAGGAGACCAGGACCAGGAAAGGGAATGACCAGCCTAGGTTAGGGCCAGCACTGTCCCTGGGATTACAGTGTGTCTGTCCCATATCTTAGGGTGGGAAAACCCACCATACTGGGCAGGCTCAGTACCCTTCAGAGGCCCAAGTTCCATCTCATTCTGCCAGTGGCTCTGGGGTCGGTGTTTTGTGCCCTCTGGGCTTTGGCATCCTCAGCTTCGAATGCATGGCTGCACCAGTGGGTGAGTCAGTGCTCTTAGCTAGGACAGCCTGGCAGGTCCTAGGAGTAGTCAGCAGCCATGGCACTGAAGGACACAGGCCCAACAAGACTGCCAGAGCAGGGAGTCTGGCTTTGGACAAGAGCTGGGGGGAGAGGCACTGAGGGAACCCAAGGGGGACAAGACCTGATGTGAATCTCCACAGGGGTGGCCAAGGACAGTAGGGAGGACCCAACTGCGGACCAGCCAGCGCCCGAGGGGCTTAGGCCAAGGTACTAGCATGAAGGAGAGTGAGAGAGATTTGAAGTGTGGTTTGGGTACAAAAGACAGGATTTTCAGAAAAGCAGAATTTGAGGTGGGGGGGCTTAAGGCAGAGAACTGAGGAGTGTGGAAGTTTCCTAGTGGATGGCATTGAGGACCACAGCCCTTCCGGTGATGGAGGTGCGCTGTATGTGCTCTGAGTGGAACAGGGACTAGATCAGCTCATGTGATGGATGCAAAAGCCTTGGGCTCCAGGGGTGACCCCGTGAGCAGTCTCTCTCCATATCCTTTTCCTTTTTCCTGAGTTGGTACCATTCCTAGGCAGGTGGTTCTAAATGGCATCAGATCAGCATCAGACTTGGCAGAAAGATTTGCTAACACTCCCAGGAGAGCCCACTCATTGGCTTACCTTAGGTCACATGTCCAAATCTCAATCAGTCATCCGGATGGAGGCTGTGGCTGCCAGGCCATATCCACCTGTGAGCCCTGTGGTGGAGAGCAGCAGAGAGGTGGTTCTCCCCAGGGAGAAGGCCGTGACAGAGGGGACCAAGGATCTGGCCTTAGGGTGCACAGGGTTCCAGGTAACAGCCTGGCAAAAGCTGGGCCTCTGAGTAAATGGCAGGGGAGGGGCCTAGACCATCAGCCTTGGGGTCTTGCTCTGCTCTGGTCTTGATACGAGTGGTCTTAACGTGCACTCCTGTGCTGATGACAGGACTGTGCCTCCAGCTGCCACCACACTGACCACCTGACCTTCTTATCAGGGGTCTGACACTGCAAATCCATGGTAGAGTGGGTGCGGAGGCCGGTTGCCCATTTGTTCTGTCCACAGCAGGCTCCTCCCTGGTCCCTCACCTGCCTGCCCTGGTAAGTTGTCTCCAGCTCACCAGCTTGGGTGGGGCCTTCCAGGCTCTAGAGTAACTGAGGTCACAGCTCAGGTCCTCCACATTTCCTGAGTCCTAACAAGCTGGGGCCAGCTTCACTGTTCTGGTTAATTACAGAAGGCTGCTTGATTTCTGGTCTGTCTTTCTGTTTGATCACAATACCTCTCTACCTTCCCTGCCTGGTGGCAGGAGGGCTGCTGCGGCTCTGATCTCACCTCTGAGGTTTAGTCAGCAGGGAATAATGTGCACCGTTCTTTGTAGCTCGGATTGGACTGCATCAGCCTCTGGCTCAATCCTGAACCTCTATGGTCAGCAAGTGCAGGATGTTGACTGGGTGGGCCTAGGTCACATGCTCCAATCTCAGACCCCATCTGGACAATTGGGGAGAGATGGAAAACTTCTAACCTAAAATTTGGGGTGTTATTGCAAATAGGAGGCCTGGAGGCCGAGGACTTCAGGAAGGAAGTTACACATCTCCTGTGAGGCTCATCCTCAGATACAAGTGAGAAGAGAGGCTCGGATGGAATCAAGAGCCTACTCAGGCTTGCTCAGGTGAGCACTGATGGAGCCAGCCCAGGCCCAGGTCCACGGTTTGTCTCTGCAGTGTCCTTTCCTGGATAATCCCATGCAGTGGCCTGTCCAGAGCGGGCCCAGGCCCAGAGAGTTCCCCACCCCAGGAACTAAATCATAACCTCTCTCAGGTCTGCCAGCTTTTACAAAAGACAAGAGCCACGGGTCCATTTAAAAATCATTTTTTAAATTAATATCCTCTTCCCATTTAGCCAAGTGTCTGTAATGTATAAGGAATGTCGGTAAATATTCCATTTGAAGCTTCTTTGTACATATTTCCATCAATAAATAAACTCTGAATTCACATAAAAAAGTTAAACTTAAATAACTCATATTTCCTTCTCTCGTAACAGGCATATATTGGTAAAATATAAATATTCTTGGACTCAGGCTTTGTTCTAAGTGAGGAGAACAGTAATTCATCACATGGTACAATTATTGACAATAAAACCAAGAAATTGTCAGCTGGTGTCCTGGCGTGGACAAGTACTGAGGTGGGAAACAGAAGATTCACATTTGGTTTCTGGGCCACGGTGGGGCGGGGGCGGAGGTGGGGACACAGGACAGGACAGTTGCTTTCTTTACAGCTCTGATAAAAATAATCTGTTCTGTCACTGAATTTTGAACTTTGAATATATTCTTCTACATTTGCTGATTAATTCCATAATCATTGTACTTCAAACTTGGATGTCAACTAACCAAGTATGGCACATAATCCATTTGGAACAAGGCCAGCAGGTTCAGAAACTATCACTGGGCTGGCGAAGAAGAAGAGAGATGCACAAGGAGGGAGTGGTGACTCGCTCGGGTTGGCTGGGTTAGTCGCTGTGGTCATTTAACGTTCATCTGGGGCCTCGGTGTGGCAGATTTGACCCCTGGGGCCTTGGGGTGATCCCTGGTGGCCCAGGCCAGGTGTCCCTGGCCTGCAGGGTGGTGAGGCAGGCACCTGCTCAGAGCACGCGGGGGATGATGGTGAAGGGCACGGCGGGGCTGCTGGCCTCCAGCTCCAAGGCCGTCAGGAAGCACTCGGTGGCCGCCGCGTCGTTGCCCTGGGCTTGGAGGACCTCGCCCAGCCCATTCCAGACCTCATGAGCCGTGGAATTCACCTGCACGGCATCACGGAGGATCTTCTCTGCCAGGCTGTAGCGGCCCAGCTGGTGGAGGATCAGGGCCTGTGGGGTGGGGGCAGAGAGAGAGACAGACAGACAGACAGTCAGAGACTTGGCACTTCTGAGCACCTGGATGTCCTGAGTTTTCAGGGAGTTCCTGGGAGGTGGGAATGTTACCTCCATGGGTCAGACACGGTAAATTCTCAAGTGATTCCTGCGCTTAGGGGCCATGGCTAGACCAGTTCTGTGCAGCACACGGCACAGCTGAAATGCGGGTATTTCTGATTTGTGAAAGTGATACTCTCTTATAGCTCATCTGACAACACTCAGGAGGGCACCAATTGGAAGGCCATGGTCTATACTGACCTGCCATGTGTCAGCTGACACCTGCTGGCATGGAAGCATTATTTGTCACCTTTTGCTTTTTAGCCCAAAGAAATGTCATTTATGGAATCTCTACCAAAATAACTGTTATAGATTCCTTTTTTAATTTGGTCGGAGCCTCTTGCCCCAATCAAATCCCTGATCTCAGGGTCCTCACCTTGCCCCAGGCCACGGACAGCTGTCCCTGCACGCAGTCTCACTCAAGGTATACGTGTTGATCCTCAAACATCTGATCACAAACATGGTTTCAAGTTGTACATCCCCGGAAGTGACGTGTTTGTCCTATTCCACTCAATCGCTCTCCATCTCTCCATGATGGGACCTTGAGGTCATAGCCAGTAAATCATAAACACCTTTCCAGGATGTGCCATTTTGTTCTTTTGGATCAGTGGATTTCTAGTCTTTTTTTTTTTTTTTTAATAGCTCTGGGTGTCTTGGTAAAATGAAATCTTACTCAGAAAACCCTCACACTCTGATATATGGGAACTGCTTTGGGTGGAGGGCAGAGGGACAGGAGTCTAGTGTCCCCAGATCTCCTTATGGTGGTCCCACTGATAGCCATTTGGATATAATCCCTTTAGGGCAAATTTCCCCAACTGGCTGTTACTGGGTAAGAAGATTAAGATTCTTTCTAGGGTTCTCCAAATAGGCTGAAAATTTATCAGCAAATGTTGGTATCAAGAGTTCAGGGGCTTCCCACATTGGTCCTCTACAGTTTCTCATTGTGTAAATCTAAGTTTCCTTGAGGAAACTTAGCTCTGTGACCTCAAGTAACCTTCAGGTTAACTATTTCCCACACTTTTGTCTAGGACCCTTTCATAGGCCTGATAATCATCTATCATATTTTTCTATCCTGTTCCTTGACTTTTGAATTTTCTTTGAGTCAAGGCTTTTAGTTTTTTAAATTAAATTTATTGGTGGTTGATGATTTTTCTGGGTTATTTCAAGGGTTAGAAAGCTATCCTTCAAAGATCTGACACACATGCATTCTCTGTATTGTGATTTGTCCAGTAGTAAGTAGATGACCACTTTTCTTAGCTGAGATGGATTTCTCCTACTGTGCTGGACCAAATTAACTAATACTGTTTTGTCACTTGGGTTGGGCACTGTCTTTGTCATACAGTGAACTATGACAGGAAGTGGGGGCCCTAAATGACTTTCCAGTGAGCTATCACTCCCAACTTTGTACAAGCACCATACTGTTTTAATTTCCATTATTCCTAATCATGTTTTAACAGACAGAATTAGTCTTTCCTCTCTGCTCTTTGTTTTCATGTATTTCCTGACAATCTTTCCCTGTACTGTACTGGATGAATGCTAAAATCACCTGTTCATTCCCCTTAGGAATTGAATTGTACTTGCATTAAATGTCTAAGTGTTTGCGGAGAAGCCTAGCGTCTTTACACTGGTCAGTCTTCCCACCCAGGAATGTGACGTGGCCTGCTGGTCATTCTAGTCTCATTCTGGGCCTCCCAGGAAAGCCCAGCTCTTCTCTAGTTGGTGCATGCATGTCCCCACAAGCCTGAATTTCACTCCTGGGCGAGGGACAGTGGTTCTGCTCTCAGAAGTAGAGGCAGTCAGTGGAGTGGCACAAGTCACAAGTCTTGGACAGCGGGTTGCAGCATGACCAACACAGGGAGCAGGGGCTGCCTCTGGGAATGCTGCCCCTGACAGAGGCACTCTGTCTGGAGGTAGGGTACCTCAGGGGGCAGTGTCCAGGCCCTGAGGGCTGCTTGGGATGACCCCTCTTCAGGACATGTGGTCCTAGAGGTGCCATGAAAAGCAGCCTGACTCCTGAGAGGCATCTGTACCATGTACCACCTGGGTCCCCTTAAGTGGGACACTACCCAAAGGACCCATGCCCCAGGCCGTGAGAGCCATGTGGAGACTCCTCCACTGGGGTGGGGCGGGGGGAGAGTCCCAGTTCTGGGAAGGAGAGAGAGGGAAAATTCATGGTTGAGGAGGGAGACACAGAGGGGGAAGAGGAGGAAAAGGAGAAGGAGCTGTCAGGGTACCCTAAGGAACCAGTCCCAGACTGTGGGGGTTTCTACCTAGCCCTGCCTGCTCATTCCCAAGATAAGGGTGTGGGAGCAGAGCAGCCATCAGGACTGGGCTTGTCTGTTACTAGGACGAATATCGGCACTACTGTAATACCAATCACATACATGCTCCTAGTGTCTGTGCTACAAAGCACTGTCCTAAGAACACTGGATTCCCTGGAGACCCCAAAGCCATTTCACCTGGACATGACCAGGACCCACATGCAATGGTGTAGGAGACTGGTTCTCACTGCCTTGGAGGGTGTCCCAGCCGGACACCTGTTAGGTGATGCACAGGTGCATCTACTCCTCCCTTGCAGGTGACTAAACGATGGCTCCCAGAGCCTCCTGCCCAGGTGGGCAGTTGGTTACTGCAGAACTTATCGCTCCCATCGCCTAGGGTCTGCATGGCCCTGCGTGGAGTCCAGGGTGGGTGGCAAAGACTCTCACCCACTGCCTAGGATGGAGCTCTCCCTACCTTGAACCTTTGGAGAAAATGTAACAACTTTATATCCTCTCTTTCCAACTTCAAAAGGCAGGTGGACTAAACAGGGGTCACTGTCAGGTTAGAATCAGTCAGGTCTAACAAGCTCTGCTGTTTCCTTCCAGGGGAAGTTTTCAGCCTAGCTCCTTCTAGAACATTCCACAGAGCCAGCAGAAGGGGGTGGGGAGGGGTCTGGGAGTAGCAGAGAGGATCAGCATGGAGGGGTCACTAAGAGTGGCTGGCATTCTTCAAGGCACAGTTCACTGTGTCAGGACACTGAACATACCGGCGACGGGCTTCTGAGTTGCTTCTGGCAGGTGAGTGACAAGGAACAATCGGCCCTGTAAGGCAGAAGGAGGTGTCCTTGCTTGCCTGGCTGCAGAAGAGAAATTAACTCAAGTCCACCAGCCTCTGCCGCGCTGCTTTTTTCCTTTGCAGGGAGCCTGCAGGGAACGGAGCGCTTTCCTGGGCTCATCTATCAGCACCACGTAGATACAGGGCCACAGAGGGCAAGTGCGAGTCCAAGGTCGAAGGGCTGCAGGCTGGCTTTGATCTCTCTGCGCCAAAGCCGCCTGCTCTGCTCGGCCACCACGCTGCCCTGTGGCTAGGAGGCCAGTCTGAGGCTGTGGCCATGAGCTCTGTGGGACTCTTTCGCCCCAATGCACTCAGGCAATAACCCAGTTCCGTCCCAGCGACAGCAAATGGGTGTCTGCTGCGCTGTGACTTCCCTTTCATTTCTCTGACCACTAATTGCTGATTTTATTGTGCCTTCCCATATTACGACTGGTAAATCGCTCCTCTCCTGAGACAGTTTTTCTCTGCCTCAAGCTGCTGCCTGAAAGCATCCTTTATATTTGCTTGTGGCCTGGGAGGGCACCCGACTTCCACCTGTGGTGGCCCACAGGCTGGTGGGCCTAGTGGTTTGGGGTGGCTGTGGGGTCCTGTTAGCCAGGAAGTAAGTCAGTGAAGCGTGGAGGGCTGGTGGGCACTGTTCTCGAATAGAGACTCTCCTGGCCCTGCAGGGACTGGGGGTTCTGTCAGACTGGCAGCCGTTGAGGCTGGATACAGCCTGCTGTGGGGGTGCCAGGACACAGGACAGGAGCGTGTCCATCGATGCCAAAGTCCACCATCTGCCTCAGTGCTGGGCAGCTCTGAGCCTCTGCAGCACTCACGTTTGAGGGCTCTCTGCCTCAGCAGAGCTGGGCTATATTCCTAAGGCAGGAACAGGCTGTGTTCCCAGGTGACCTTGAGGCTTCCTGAGCAATCTGTTTAGTGGAATTAATTCCTACAGCTGGAGCTGCTCAGGGAGACAGCGCAGACTTGCCAGGGGCTGCCAGCACAGGCTTGGCAGGGGAATGAAAAATAGGCCTCTCCCAAGTGCCCTGGTGAGCCCAGAGCAGCTTGGAAATCAGTCACGCCACCTGATCAGCCAAAGCAAGCTCCTGCCGGGGTCTGAGCCACTGCTTAGAGTCAGCGCTGCAAAAGGGTGACCAGAGGTGGGTTGCATTTGTCCACTGGAGTGACACACTGCCCAGAGCCCTGTGTGCCACTGAGGGCCTTCCTTTCTCGGCCTGGATGAGCTCTTCTGCACTAGTGTTGACATTCCTGACAATCCTGCCGGCCCTGGTCTCTGTCTTCTCCGGAGATCAGAGGCTTCGCTCCAGAGGCTGCATTTAACTGTCTTCCTTGCCAGCTGGACCCAACCCTCTCGTGGTTTAGCCAGGCTGACTGTCAGCTGATGACATGCTGAGCCTCCCTGACCTCCAGCCTAGTCACCTGGCCTTCCCTGCTGGAGCTCCAGTTCTCTGCCCAAAACTGTGGGGCTCCCCATGCTCCCCTGGGTGGCTCTACCCGGCTCCTGCTCCCAGCTCTCCACTAGGCAGGAGGAAGACTCCAGTGACTGATAGATTTCACAGTCCTATAGATGACCGCACCTCACCTCCACACCAAACTCAACAGAGAACTAGAGCGATGGCCCGATGTGCCGGACACAGGAGGGTGTGACACAGGTCTGCTCTCAAAGCACGCAGACATGACTCTGCCAGGTTCTGCCCTCTCCCCTTGGCAGGCAGGACCTCCTTCCAGCCTTGCCCACCATGAAGAGCCAGTGTGACCGTGGATCACGTTTCACAATCACAGTCTGCCCGAGCCCTGTG